ATTTAATGTACAAAAATAATCGAAATCCATGATTATTTCTTAACAATCGAACTGACCTCAAAACTCACTAATCGCTCAACAATAAATTGTGTTTAAATTGTTGTTAGGGGCTGATAGTGAATACACATATAATAAAGCAAATGACCATATCACCTGGTATGACATATCTCATTAGACTGATCATACTATATTATTATTTTCACAGTAGCAGGCTACCCAGAAGTATCAGGATGCTATATAAAAATTGACAACACTCGAGTGCAGCAGTCCCATGTGGACAGGTGTGTTCAGAGGTGCACGTGTAGTTTTAGAGGCTACTCTTTGCTGGTCTACATTTAAATCCACACAGATTAACTAGGCCAGTTTGCTATGTTTACATCGACGGCAAGTAGCCTAGCTATTACACAATGCACAATTAGCTGACTATGCATTCAATAATGATGGTCCTCTGTAGCTCAATTGGTAGAGCATGGCGCTTGTAACGCCAGGGTAGTTGGTTCGATCCCCGGGACCACCCATACGTAAAAATGTATGCGCACATGACTAAATCGCTTTTAGCGTCTGCAAAATGGCATATTATTAATAAAAACACTTAATATATTAAGTAAGTGTATTTCGTTAGGTTTTCGTAATACTTCTTTCCTCAAAACTCGGGTATGTGAACTATTACAAACATTTTTATTTTACGAACATCTGCCCTAAACCCATTTTTTGCTTCTCAGACTTCTTCCATCTTGTCTTGTTGACATTCACTTTATCCCGCCTATTCAGCACCGCGTGCATCAACGATTGGTTTACTGTTGGTCAATCATACGGTTTACACCGCCTCTTAAAATCCCATTGGTCCATGATACTGTCAATACAGAAATAGTACACTGTTCACAATGTAGGCGCATCCACAACCCTTCTCCATGACTACATAGAAAACCAACCCAAAGCTCACTAGATATTGTTTATACGCTCAAAGCCAGATGGTAAAGTATCAAAAGACAATGATTCAAATTACCTGTCAAGTTTTCTAATAAACAATAACAATGACAGTAAAATATAACCAAGCATTTCGACGAAACATACCATTTAGTCCATCGACTCCGTTGTTCTCAACTACAGCAGCAGCTTCATACATCGTGCTTGTTTACAGGGTTGCTTCCATATGACTGTCAATGGACCACGCACACTCCCTCCACACATTCGGACGTGCGCGCAACCGCGTACCAAAACTGCCCTGAGTCGCCTTTACCTTGTTGCAGAGTAGCTACCGCCAGCACAGTTAAAATGTGTTCTGTTAGCTGATCTGGAACCAGTGGTTAGCAGCACTGCAATCTTCCTCGAGCTCTGTGATGACGTCAGATGAGCCCGTTCTTTAGTAACAAAGGCAGGCATAAAGCATAGGCAGACTATCATTACGTAACGTGTTGGAAATGGACCACAACCCCCCCGTCCCGTTGTTATTATACCTGTGGCACCACATCGTGAGAAAATAACAGGAATAAATTATAACATGGGAGTTCTCCACTTGCACAACTCTGTACAGGCATCTGTATATTTCCGAGACGTGAAAGACAATCGTCATTTGAGAACGTGCACATCGGCACATACCCCAAGATGCCAATGCCATCCCTCAATACTCATACACAGTTGTGTGTAGTAGATCAAAGGATACGCCTATGCATGGGGATATAATTTTGTATTGTGCAATAAGACCCTCAAAACTTACGTTCACTTCACACTTCTCTATTTAACGGTTTGGCACTTGTTTATAAAATAAATAATATCAAGAACTTTATGTACCTGGGGCATAAATAGCCAGCACTCCTATTTCCACATGGGTGTGATCAACATAGGGATGTCAACATTGGACTAAACCAGGGCATGAATATGGTCTAATCTGAAGTGGCATAGAGTTTGCCAGCTTGTAATCCTAAAGACCGGAAATGAGTTACCTCTGGTTCGTTCAGCCATTCCTATGGGGGAAATGAATAGGGAAAGAATAAGGTTTTGGGATAAACACTGAAAATAAGGTCTAAAGGTTAACACAGCCTTAGGAGATCTTATATGTTATGTTCTACGAGAATTCATAAAGGTATTATTATGAAGCCTTTATGTGCTTGTTTTGATTACATAAATGCTTCATAATTCACAAGAAGAGACAGTTGATGAAGATCCTCATAGAACAACACATATGATCTCCCAAGCCTGTGTTTACCATAGACCTTATTCTCGGCGTTTATCCAAAAAATAAAAATCCCCATAGGCTTTGGCAGACAAGCCCTGGCAGTTAGTGCCTACAAAAAGACGCCATTACTATTGCTCTCTATTAAATGTAATGACACGGGCATGACACATTAGTAAAAAAAAAATATATATAAATAGGATTTACTTTATTCCTGTCATTGTCACTAGATTTACAACAGCTGTATTATATTTGTAATTATTGTCAAACATGATTGGAGGCATCATGATTTCAACAGTCAAATTTCACTGGGTGTAGACAAACTGATGAGCAAGATATTAGAGCATGATAATGTGGAGTTCCACTTCACTTCACTCCGATTCAGATTCTTTTTTGAACATTGTCACTTTCATGTCAGTTCTTCGTGAAATGCCCACTTAAAAACGCTACACCCATCTTTAGCATTTCAATATGTAATTTGCTGTATAATATTGGGAGTACCATGACACAGATCAAGTATGACACTGTATAGCACTTGGGAAGACTAACAGGAATGACTGAGGTTTTCCTATAATGAAGTAATGCTTTTCTGCAATAGAAAAATCACTAAGCGAGGTATGGGGCAACGTGAAAAGGGGATACTCTCGATAATAAAATAAAAACAAATAGATTTCATTTTACCTTAAAAAGAAAACGACTAAAACGGATGTGACATTTGTTCCATTTATAAATATGACAATTATCATCTCTGAATGGCTCTTTCAAAAACAGACTATCTTTGACAACAAGACAAGACACAGCAACACCACCCTGGTTCCCAGACTCAGTAAAGTCTCTTACAAGCCTTGGCCTGCTTATCCACCCACAACTGCAGTAGTAGCAGTTTTAAGGAGTCCTCACTGAGACAGACAGACTGGTTGTGTATCTAGTAGTGTGTGCAGATACACTAAATATACAAAAGTATGTGGACACCCCTTCAAATGAGTGGATTTATCTATTTCAGCCACACCCGCTGCTGACAGGTGTATAAAAATCAAGCACACAGCGATGCAATTTCCATAGACAAACATTGGCAGTAGAATGGCCTTACTGAAGAGCTCAGTGACCTTCAACGTGGCACCGTCACAGGATGCTACCTTTCCAACAAGTCAGTTCGTGAAATTTCTGCCCAGCTAGAGCTGCCCCAGTCAACTGTAAGTGCTGTTATTGTGAAGTGGAAACACCTAGCAGCAACAACGGCTGAGCCACGAAGTGGCAGGCCACACAAGCTAACAGAACGGGACCGCCGAGTGCTGAAGTGCGTAAAAATCGTATCCTCGGTTGCAACACTCACTTCCGAGTTCCAAACTGACTCTGGAAGCAACATCAGCACAATAACTGTTCGTCAGGAGCTTCATAAAATTAGTTTCCATGGCCGAGCAGCTGCACACAAGCCTAAGAACACCATGTGCAATGCCAAGCGTCGGCTGAAGTGGTGTAAAGCTCGCCGCCATTGGACTCTGGAGCAGTGGAAACGTGTTCTCTGGAGTATGAATCACGCTTTACCAGCTGGCAGTCCGACGGACGAATCTGGGTTTGGCAGATGCCAGGAGAACGGTACCTGCCCCAATGCATAATGCAAACTGTAAAGTTTGGTGGTGGAGGAATAATGGTCTGGGGCTGTTTTTCACAGTTTGGGCTAGGGCCCTTAGTTCCAGTGAAGGGAAATCTTAACACTATAGCATACAATGACATTCTAGAAGATTCTGTGCTTCCAACTTGTGGCAACAGTTTGGGAAAGGCCCTTCCTGTTTCAGCATGACAATGCCCCCGTGCACAAAGCGAGGTCCATACAGAAATGGTTTGTTCGAGATCGGTGGGGAAGAACTTGACAGGCCGGCAGAGCCCTGATCTCAACCCCATCAAACACCTTTGGGATGAATTGGAACACAGACTGCGAGTCAGGCCTAATGCCCAACATCAGTGCCCGACCTCACTAATGCTTGTGGCTGAATGGAATCAAGTTCCAACATCTAGTGGAAAGCCTTCCCAGAAGAGTAGAGGCTGTTATAGCAGCAACGGGGGAGACCAACTCCATATTAATGGCCATGATTTTGGAATGAGATGTTCGTGTCCACATACTTTTGGTCATGTAGTGTAGGATCAGTCACACTACATACAACATGCTCTCAGTACATGTTTTGGAGTGTTTCTCTGAGGTGCAGCAGTCCACCAACAGCAGCAACAGCTTTGAGACAGCTAGGCTCTTTGATAAGTAAGTGTGTGTCCGATTGGTTTGTGTATGCATATCTGTGTGTGTGTGTGCATGCATGCACGCACATGTGTGTATGTAAGAGAGGGAGGCTTTTGGAGAAGCATGTGGTATGAGGAACAAAAATTGAAACAAACACCAGTTCTTGCAATTGAATTAAAACAGAACAGATTGGCAGTTTAAAAAAAACAAAAAAACAACATGACTATGGCACCAGACAATGAGAGGAGGGGTTGAAGAAGGGGCAGGGATGGTTCTTGGTGTGTTTTGGTTTTTCTACTAGCCATTGATTCCCCCCCCCAAAAGTGTGGCTGTCAGACATACATATAAATGGAACTCGTTACCCATGTTGCCCTGGGGCTGGGCGGGGTGATACTGGGCGGGCGGCGCACACAGATTGGCACATCACCACCAAAACAATATCAAGGTGAGCGACGCGTCACTGTGCCACAGAGGCTGATGGTGGGCAAGAATTAGGTTTTAGTTTTCCACACCTGGAAACATGGCAAAGTCTATTTGTCCAATGACAAAAATTAGAGGCTAAAGGTAGTGGATGTCTGCCTTCACGGAAAACATCTAGTTCACTTTGTCCTGGAATATGTAGAGGTTGTTGGTGGTTGCCACGGCAATGATGTTGTCCTGGGGGTGCCAGGCGGTGTGGAGGATTTTCTTGTTGAAGTCCAGGCTGTCTACGCTGATCTCGTCCTTCTTCCGCTTCCCGCCGGCACACACCTTGCGGGGCTTCAGGACCTGCCGTGGCTTACTGCCCTCCCGGGACGCCTCCAGGGTCACGTCCCACCGCTGGCCCCGGTCAAACATCCGGAAGAAGTTGTTGTACGAGCCCGTCATCACCACACTGGGAAGGAAAATGAGGGAGAGGATTAAAACAAGGAAATTAAGAACCTAGGGCTTGTTATTTTTATTTATGAATACAATTTGAGAACTTGGCAATGTTAACCTGTCATTTCCGTTCCAGCAGCACTCAAACTTGTCGAAGATGCAGTCGTTTTCATAGAGCGAGCACAGCTTACTCCTGAGGTACTCGTGAACCTGCCATGAGGGAGACAGGTCAGAGGTAATCAACATGGAGCCACATACTAACCTCAGTTCAGGGGTCAAATCTGTATTTATGAGTCATTTTGAGTCAAATATTCCGAATGAGGGTAAGATGATCGAAATTGCTTACAACATAAGTTCAAAGAAAAACTAGACCTAGTTAAGCTGCAGCTGGCCCAAAACAGAGCGGCACGTCTTGCTCTTCATTGTAATCAGAGGGCTGATATAAATACTATGCATGCCAGTCTCTCTTGGCTAAGAGTTGAGGAGAGACTGGCTACATCACTTCTTTTTATAAGAAACAATGTGCTGAAAATCCCAAATTGTTTGCAAAGTCAACTTACACACAGCTCTGACACACACACTTACCCCACCAGACATGCCACTAAGGGGTCTTTTCACAGTACCCAAATCCAGAACAAATTCAAGAAACTGTACAGTATTATATAGAGCCATTATTGCATGGAACTCATATTGCTTAAATAAACAAACCTGGTTTAAAAAAACAGATAAAGCAACACCTCACGGCACAACGCCTCTCCCCTATTTGACCTAGATAGTTTGTGTGCATGTATTGATACAGTTGAAGTCTGAAGTTTATATACACCTTAGCCAAATACATGTAAACTCAGTTTCACAATTCCTGACATTTAATCCTAGTAAAAATTCCCTGTCTTAGGTCAGTTAGGATCACTGCTTTATTTTATGAATTTGAAATGTCAGAATAATAGTAGAGAGAATGATTTATTTCAGCTTTTATTTATTTCATCACATTCCTAGTGGGTCAGAAGTTTACATACACTCAATTAGTATTTGGTAGCATTGCCTTTAAATTGTTTAACTTGGGTCAAACGTTTCTGGTAGCCTTCCACAAGCTTCCCACAATAACTTAGGTGAATTTGGACCCATTCCTCCTGACAGAGCTGGTTTAACTGAATCAGGTTTGCGTAGGCCTCCTTGCTCGCACACGCTTTTTCAGTTCTGCCCACACATTTTCTATAGGATTGAGGTCAGGGCTTTGTGATGGCCACTCCAATACCTTGACTTTGTTGTCCTTAAGCCATTTTGCCACAACTTTGGATGTATGCTTGGGGTCATTGTCCATTTGGAAGACCCATTTGCGACCAAGCTTTAACTTCCTGACTGATGTCTTGATATGTTGCTTCCAGTCCCTCCTGCAGCAAAGCACCCCCACAGCATGATGCTGCCACCCCCGTGCTTCACGGTTGGGATGGGGTTTTTCGGCTTGCAAGGTCCCCGTTTTTCCTCCAAACATAACGATGGTCATTATGCCCAAACAGTTCTATTTTTGTTTCATCAGACCAGAGGAAATTTCTCCAAAAAGTACAATCTTTGTCCCTATGTGCAGATGCAAACCGTAGTCTGGCTTTTTTATGGCGGTTTTGGAGCAGTGGCTTCTTCCTTGCTGAGTGGCCTTTGTACCGGTTTCCTCCAGCATCTTCACAAGGTCCTTTGCTGTTGTTCTGGGATTGATTTGCACTTTTCGCACCAAAGTACGTTCATCTCTAGGAGACAGAACAAGTCTCCTTCCTGAGCGGTATGACGGCTGCGGGGTCCCATAGTGTTTATACTTGCGTACTATTGTTTGTACAGATGAATGTGGTACCTTCAGGCGTTTGGAAATCGCTCCCAAGGATGAACCAGACTTGTGGAGGTCAACCATTTTTTTTCCTGAGGTCTTGGCTGATTTCTTTGGATTTTCCCATGATGTCAAGCAAAGAGGCACTGAGTTTGAAGGTAGGCCTTGAAATACATCCACAGGTACACCTCCAATTGACTCAAATTATGTCAATTAGCCTATCAGAAGCTTCTAAAGCCATGACATCATTTTCTGGAATTTCCCAAGCTGTTTAAAGGCACAGTCAACTTAGTGTATGTAAACTTCTGACCAAATGGAATTGTGATACAGTGAATTATAAGTGAAATAATCTGTCTGTAAACAATTGTTGGAAAAATGACTTGTGTCACGCACAAAGTAGATGTCCTAACCGACTTGCCAAAACTATAATAATTTGTTAACAAGAAATTAGTGGAGTTGTTGAAAAAAAAAACGAGTTTTAATGACTCCAACCTAAGTGTATGTAAACTTCCGACTTCAACTGTATGTAGGCTACGTGTGCCTTTAAATTTTTTTTTTTATGTAGTTCTGTCCTTGAGCTGTTCTTGTCTATTACTGTTCTGTATTATGTCATGTTTCATGTTTTGTGTGGACCCCAGGAAGAGTAGCTGCTGCTTTTGCAACAACTAATGGGGATCCTAATAAAATACCAAATAATTGTTTGGCTTCTCATTTCAGGGTGTGAAAGTGCAGCAGTTTGGCAAGAACATAGTCTTAGAGTCCCCCTAGTGGACATTATCTGAAACTACATGCAAGAAATTAGGTGTGACCAGTCCCTGATAAAAAAGTGCACTAAAACAACAGCCTGTTGACTTTCTCAAACCTCAAGTCCCCACACTCCCACTGCCAGTCTCACCTGGTACGTCTCCACAACCCTGTTCTCCATGTTCAGGTCCCAAATCTTGACAGACAGGTAGTCCCGGGTCATCATGTAGCGCCCGTTGTGGCTGAACTTGACGTCCGAGATGGACGAGATTATCTCAGAGAAAAAGGAGCGGTTACTGGGGTCCTCCGGCTCCTCGAACACTGGAGAGGGAGAGGTCAAGTTAGTTCACCAACTGCTATTAGAGATAATAAAGTGCATGTTGCTGTGCTAGTTAGCCTTTCCCCCCATCCTAATGTGAAAACAAGATATTATACCCTATGATTCCAAGATGGCGTAGCAGTGCGGCTATGTTTTTTTCTGTGTCCTTGTGCAAATTGCCAGTTTTTGTCTATTTTGTATATATTTCTCAATTTTACTTTTCATTCTTTAACTAAATATACTTTCCTGCAACCCGCCTCACTCAACGTGGAAAGGATTCTATTATTTCTTTATAACTTTTATCAAGAACCTTAAGCTGAACTAGTCTAGCTGCAACCGAATGGATACTTGCTATTAGCCACCATTAGCGTCTTCACCATTGTCCGTGGCCTGCACTACCCACCAGCCAGCTCTAGCTCTAGGCTGGACAATTTGTCGGCTAGTCTGTACAGCATGCTATCGACCCAGAGCATATCGGATTTTCTGCCGGAATCACTGGACACTAGCGCCGGATCATCGCAACCAGCTAGCTGCAACCAAATGGCTGTTGTCATTGGTTAATTACCATTGCCCTTAGCAAGCACCAGTTAGCCTTGAGCTAGCCTCGAGCCAGGCCCATCTCCAGGCTCTCTGTCAACTGGACGGGACCTCCTTGTGTTGACACGGAGCCCCGCCGATCCAACATGACTGGTTTGCCGACGAAATCGTCTGATTTGGTTTCTACCGGCTTCCCGTTACGACGTCGACCACGAAGATCCATCTGCTAGCCCGGGCCCGCTAGCACACGCAAGCCGGGCTCTCGCCAGTGCTGTAGCAGCCCCGAACTACCTCCGAACTCTCCTATTGCTGTTTACCGGACCTTATGATAATTCAGCTATACAGCTGATGCCTGCTGGACTGTTCCTTTATACGGTACCGCATCCTGTTTATGTGTAGCCTCAGCCCAAACTTTGTCGCCATTACCAGCTGTTGTCTTAGCTCTCTCGAATAACACCTGTGATTGCTTTATGCCTCTCTCCCATGTCAATATGCCTTGCTTATTGCTGTTTTGGTTATTTCTTATTGTACTATTTCACTGTAGAGCCCCCAGCCCAGCTCAACCTGCCTTAGATAGCTCCTTTGTCCCACCCCCCCATACACGCGGAGACCGGCTCAATCGGTACCTCCAGTGATGCTCTCTCTTTCATCGTTACCCAACGCTTAGGTTCAACTCCACTGTACTCATATCCTTCCCTATACATAATGCACTGAATCTATTCTACAACGCCCGGAAATCTGCCCCTTTTTTTCTCTGTACCCAACGCACTAGAAGACCAGTTCTTAAAGCCTTTAGCCGTATCCTTATTCTACTCCTCCTCTGTTCCTCTGGTGATGTAGAGGTTAACCGAGGCCCTGTAGCCCCCAGTATCACTCCTACTCCCCAGGCGTTATCATTTGTTAACTTCTGTAACCGTAAAAGCCTGGTTTCTTGCACGTTAACATCCGAAGCCTCCTCCCTAAGTTTGAGTTATTCACTGCGTTAGCACACTCCGCCAACCCTGATGTTCTAGTAGTGTCTGAACCCTGGCTTAGGAAGGCCATCAAAAATTCAGAAATGTCCATCCCCAAGTACAACATTTTCCATCTCGATAGAACTGCCAAAGAGGGTGGGGTTGCAATCTACTGTAGAGATAGCCTGCATAGCTCTATTATACTATCCAGGTCTGTGCACAAACAGTTTGAGCTTCTACTTCAAAAAAATCCACCTTTCCAGAAATAAGTCTCACTGTTGCCACTTGCTACAGACCCCCCTCAGCCCCGAGCTGTGCCCTGGACACCATATGTGAACTGATTGCCCCCCATCTATCCTCAGAGTTCGTACTGCTTGGTGACCTAAACTGGGATATGCTTAACATCCCGGCCAACCTGCAATCTAAACTAGATGCCCTCAATCTCACACAAATTATCAACGAACCTACCAGGTACAACCATAAATCCGTAAACAAGGGCACCCTCAGATATCATCCTGACAAATTTACCCTCCAAATACACCTCCGCTGTCTTCAACCAGGATCTCAGCGATCACTGCCTTATTGCCTGCGTCCGTACTGGGGCCACGGTCAAACGACCACCCCTCATCACTGTCAAACACTCCCTAAAACACTTTAGCGAGCAGGCCTTTCTAATTGACCTGGCCCGGGTATCCTGGATGGATATTGACCTCATTCCATCAGTAGAGGATGCCTGGTTGTTCTTTAAAAAGTGCTTTCCTCTCAATCTTACATAAGCATGCCCCATTCAAAAAAAAATCAGAACTAAGAACAGATATAGCCCCTGGTTCTCCTCAGACTTGACTGCACCTTGACCAGCACAAAAACATCCTGTGGCGTACTGCATTAGCATCGAACAGCCCCCGCGATATGCAACTTTTCAGGGAAGTCAGGAACCAATATACACAATCAGTTAGGAAAGCAAAGGCTAGCTTTTTCCAACAGAAATGTGCATCCTGTAGCACTAACTCCAAAAAGTTTTGGGACACTGTAAAGTCCATGGAGAATAAGAGCACCTCCTCCCAACTGCCCACTTCACTGAGGCTAGGAAACACTGTCACCACCGATAAATCTACAATAATCGAGAATTTCAACAAGCATTTTGCTACGGCTGGCCATGCTTTCCACCTGGCTACCCCTTCCCCGGCCACCAGCTCTGCACCCTCCGCTGCAACTTGCCCATGCCCCCCCCCCCCCCTCTCTTTCGTAACGTCTGAGATCCCCAGAGATTGGAAAGCTGCCACGGTCAGTATTTGAAAGCAAAGTTAACAAACTGATCACCGACCATTTCGAATCCCACCGTACCTTCTCCGCTATGCAATCCTGTTTCCGAGCTGGTCATAGGTGCACCTCAGCCACGCTCAAGGTCCTAAACAATATTATAACCGCGATCGATAAAAGACAGTACTGCGCAGCCGTCTTCATCGACCTGGCCAAGGCTTTCGACTCTCAACCACCGCATTCTTATTGGCAGACTAAATAGCCTTGGTTTCTCAAATGACTGCCTCGCCTGGTTCACCAACTACTTCTCAGATAGAGTTCAATGTGTCAAAACGGAGGGCCTGTTGTCTGGACCTCTGGCAGTCTCTATGTGGGTGCCACAGGGTTCAATTCTCGGGCCGACTCTTTTCTCCGTGTATATCAATGATGTCGCTCTTGCTGCTGGTGACGCTCGGATCCACCTCTATGCGGATGACACCATTTTGTATACATCTGGCCCTTCATTGGACACCGTTAACAAACCTCCAAACGAGCTTTAATGCCATACAACACTCCTTCCGTGGCCTCCAACTGCTCTTAAACACTAGTAAAACTAAACGCATGCTCTTCAACCGAACGCTGCTTGCACCCGCCCACCCGACTAGAATCACTACTCTCGGCGGGTCTGACCTAGAGTATGTGGACAACTACAAATACCTAGGTGTCTGGTTAGACTGTAAACTCTCCTTCCAGACTCACATTAAGCATCTCCAATCCAAAAGTTAAATCTAGAATCGGCTTCTTATTTCGCAACAAAGCCTCCTTCACTCATGCTGCCAAACATGCCCTCGTAAAACTGACTATCCTACCGATCCTTGACTTCGGTGATGTAATTTACAAAATAGCCTCCAACACGCTACTCAGCAAATTGGATGTAGTCTATCACAGTGCCATCCGTTTTGTCACCAAAGCCCCATATACTACCCACCATTGTGACCTGTACGCTCTTGTTGGCTAGCCCTCACTACATATTCGTCGCCAAACCCACTGGCTCCAGGTCATCTATAAATCACTGCTAGGCAAATCCCCGTCTTATCTTAGCTCACTGGTCACCATAGCAACACCCACCCGTAGTCTGCGCTCCAGCAGGTACAGTGGGAAAAAAAGTATTTAGTCAGCCACCAATTGTGCAAGTTCTCCCACTTAAAAAGACGAGAGAGGCCTGTAATTTTCATCATAGGTACACGTCAACTATGACAGACAAAATGAGAAGAAAAAAAAATCCAGAAAATCGCATTGTAGGATTTTTAATGAATTTATTTGCAAATTATGGTGGAAAATAAGTATTTGGTCAATAACATAAGTTTCTCAATACTTTGTTATATACCCTTTGTTGGCAATGACACAGGTCAAACGTTTTCTGTAAGTCTTCACAAGGTTTTCACACACTGTTGCTGGTATTTTGGCCCATTCCTCCATATAGATCTCCTCTAGAGCAGTGATGTTTTGGGGCTGTCGCTGGGCAACACGGACTTTCAACTCCCTCCAAAGATTTTCTATGGGGTTGAGATCTGGAGACTGGCTAGGCCACTCCAGGACCTTGAAATGCTTCTTACGAAGCCACTCCTTCGTTGCCCGGGCGGTGTGTTTGGGATCATTGTCATGCTGAAAGACCCAGCCACGTTTCATCTTCAATGCCCTTGCTGATGGAAGGAGGTTTTCACTCAAAATCTCACGATACATGGCCCCATTCATTCTTTCCTTTACACGGAAAAACAGCCCCAAAGCATGATGTTTCCACCCCCATGCTTCACAGTAGGTATGGTGTTCTTTGGATGCAACTCAGCATTCTTTGTCCTCCAAACACGACGAGTTGAGTTTTTACCAAAAAGTTCTATTTTGGTTTCATCTGACCATATGACATTCTCCCAATCCTCTTCTGGATCATCCAAATGCACTCTAGCAAACTTCAGACGGGCCTGGACATGTACTGGCTTAAGCAGGGGGACACGTCTGGCACTGCAGGATTTGAGTCCCTGGCGGCGTAGTGTGTTACTGATGGTAGGCTTTGTTACTTTGGTCCCAGCTCTCTGCAGGTCATTCACTAGGTCCCCCCGTGTGGTTCTGGGATTTTTGCTCACCGTTCTTGTGATCATTTTGACCCCACGTGGAGCCCCAGATCGAGGGAGATTATCAGTGGTCTTGTACGTCTTCCATTTCCTAATAATTGCTCCCACAGTTGATTTCTTCAAACCAAGCTGCTTACCTATTGCAGATTCAGTCTTCCCAGCCTGGTGTAGGTCTACAATTTTGTTTCTGGTGTCCTTTGACAGCTCTTTGGTCTTGGCCATAGTGGAGTTTGGAGTGTGACTGTTTGAGGTTGTGGACAGGTGTCTTTTATACTGATAACAAGTTCAAACAGGTGCCATTAATACAGGTAACGAGTGGAGGACAGAGGAGCCTCTTAAAGATGAAGTTACAGGTCTGTGAGAGCCAGAAATCTTGCTTGTTTGTAGGTGACCAAATACTTATTTTCCACCATAATTTGCAAATAAATTCATTAAAAAATCCTACAATGTGATTTTCTGGATTTTTTCCCCTCAATTTGTCTGTCATAGTTGACGTGTACCTATGATGAAAATTACAGGCCTCTCATCTTTTTAAGTGGGAGAACTTGCACAATTGGTGGCTGACTAAATACTTTTTCCCCCACTGTATATCTCACTGGTCATCCCCAAAGCCAACACCTCCTTTGGCCGCCATTCCTTCCAGTTCTCTGCTGCCATGACTGGAACGAACTGCAAAGATCTCTGAAGCTGGAGACACTTATCTCCCTCACTAACTATAGGCGTCAGTTGTCAGAGCAGCTTACCGATCACTGCACCTGTACACAGCCCATCTGTAATTAGCCCATCCAACTGCCTCATCCCCATATTGTTATTTATTTTGCTAATTTGCACCCCAGTATCTCTATTTGCACATCATCTTTTGCACATCTATCATTCCAGTGTTAATACAAAATTGTAACAATTTTGCACTGTGGCCTATTTATTGCCATACCTCCATAATTTACTACATTCACACACACTGTATATATATTTTCTATTGTATTTTTGACTTTGTTTACCCCATATGTAACTCTGTGTTGTTGTTTTTATCGCACTGCTTTGCTTTATCTTGGCCAGGTCGCAGTTGTAAATGAGAACTTGTTCTCAACTGGCTTACCTGGTTAAATAAATAAATATTCCCACATTTCTCCTATGCAGCGATGTGAATTCATTCAAGCCATTTTCTAATGGTTAAACGTGAAAGCCCCTTATACAGAGGTTGTTGCCATGGCCACTAGGTACTCACATTTGGAGTGCGTGTCACATAGCGCTGATGCCCTCATGTCACAGAGTCGGATGGTGCCCTTACTGCTGCTGTAGACGAAGGTGTTGCACTGGTGTGGATGGAACTCTGCTGCTGTAATCACCTCTGTCAGCTCCTCCATGTTGACTGGCTTTATATCCACAATGTCTGGGAGGGGCTAGAGTCAAGGGGGACTAGCACACTGGGGGTAAACACACACACCCCCCTCCTTTGTCCCTTCCCTCAACCATCCTATAATTAACAGCTGGACAAGGATACTGAAGCTGCGGTCGGTGATCTCCTGGTGCCAGAGGTTGATGCGCAGGTCGTCTGCGGATAGATATGTCTCATGGTCACTGTTTATTGAGATGGAGTTGATGTGATAAGTGTGGGCGTTGGCAAACACCCTTCGAGGGCTCGCCTCCACCATGAGGTCCATGGGTCTAAACACAGGCACCTGCAAGGGTACAGAGGGTAGTCAGCGGGTGAGGCTCTAAGGGTATAGGCTACACCCACACAGTGACTAGTGTTTCTCCATACTATAGCTAGGGCCTGTTTTTCTTTAGCAATCATTTGGCATGCATGGATTTTATCAAACTGTCCCCCTTTCTTTTTATATCAGCTGGTCCAGCACCATCCTCAGAATATTTTTTTGTTGTTGGTGCAATTCTCATTTCTAGAGAAAGCTTAAAATACATAACAAAAATCGCAAAATCTCACATGATGGGCAGAACACAGGGACCCAACTTTAGCCCCTGGCATGTAATCAGCTAAGCACTTACCCGAAGTGCAGTGACAGTGTTGGGGTCTATGTAGCGTCCATCCTCCTCTTTCAGGTTGTAGCCCTCTGGTCTCTTGTCTCGTTCACTGATCTTCCACAACTTTATGGTTTTGTCTGCCAATCAGAACACAGGACTAGATAAAAACATTTAACAGCTAAACAAAGCTCAGTGATGTGATGGCATGCATAAAAGTTCACCAGAGATTGGAAACCGACTGACCGTTAGTGGACAACAGGAACTGAGCTGCGTTCTTCTGGGGCAGCCAGCGGATTTTGTTGATCTTCTCCTCGATCTCTAAACTCTTCAAGTAGTCAAACTCGGGCTCATGGCTCTGGAAAGTGCTGTAAACATTGTACTCACTACGGCACTGTGGCTGACTCTTATTCTGTTGGGGGAGAGAGAGGGAAAAGATGAAGAGAGGGAAAAAGGAGACGGAGTAAGGGATGGAGGAGGCAGCAGAAGGAAGGGTAGAAAATGTTTGCTTTATTCGTTTTCCACAATCACCTCCTTTCCATTCAAAAGCAAATTGGAATTTAAACTCCAAACTTCCAGACAGTCATACCTCTATTTCCTGCTGAAAGATGACGACCCTGCCACCCTTGTCTCCTGTGGCTAGCAGCTCCCCTGAGTGGTTGAACTCCACAGTAGATATGATGTCGGCTGAACACAAAACAGGTATATAGATCATTCAAGAAAATCAAATTAGTTAGTTATTTCTTTCTACCCAACACAAAAGGTATTCAGAGAGGAATTGCAGGTGGTTGTATCCATGAGACTGCAATTAGCATATGAACATTACTAGCACTGGATTTGTTTAGAGGTCTATCTTCTATCCAAGAGCTGGAGTCTTAGAATGTGATTACATCCAAAGCAGACACACAATGATCAGTAACCAAGTTCCTACATGCACCAGCACATTCCCCCAACAACAGTATGGAGGCTTTTTAGACAGAGGCTGACACACACTGTTGCCCATTCGAGCAGAAAGACAATGCTGAGAAAGGTTGCAGCAGGAGGCCATAGACTGAGCTTAACACCCTGGGGCCAAGGGTGGGGGTATGTAAGTGAGTGTGTGTATCATGTGTAAGGAGGGCATGGACACGCCACGTTGTCAATGTCCTGACCCCCCAACAACATGTTTTCAGCACTTTTATTTCCATAACTGACCAAAACTTATTTTCTCATGGCACTCTGGTTCCTCTGCAGTAGACATGGTGAGCAATGTTTGGAATATCAAATCAGAATACATAGACACCCAAGTATTGCGATAACGCCACCAGTGATTTTATTTGGCCCCCCACATTTGAGAATGTTGTTTTCTTGTTGTTGAACGTAGACTATAAAAACACCAGCAAATCAGCTCCAATGATTTTAATTGGAAATCTGTTCCAAACTATTCCCACACCTAATAGAGATATATGTGATCATATAAAAACTTAAGGTTTGAAAAGATTATGTTTTAGTCAAATATATCTGTTTGGGCTTCTTGCGGTCAATTTGTGGTCTTGACCATTCAGTCAAGAAAAAAAAAGAAAACAGCCCTGCGGCTAATCTAGTTGTTGATCCCTGCTATACATTCATATGCCCAGTATCAGCCTACGCAGTGACACACACTTCCTAAATCCTTAAGAGATTGACCTATAATCAGGAGCAGAGCACATGGTGACTCAGTTCTCCTTCTGTGTATCTTTAGACTGATCTAGGATCGATTGCTTGGGAACATGGCATTCAGTAGTGATGGGGGGGGGGCATCTATATCGGGTTATTATTTTTGACAGTATATCGTATCGTTTTGACAATGTCATAATATTATTTTTGCGCTACTTGGCTGTGCCTGAACCAAAACTCCAGTACTTTTCCTTCATAGCTTTTTCTCCATCTTCTTTTGAAATAGGGAGCCAATTTGTTCTCTGCACATTTCCATGACTGATCAAAACTCATTTTCTCAAGGCTCTCTCTTGTCCCTCTGCAGCAGACATATGGTGAGCAATATGTTTGGAACATCGAATCGCAATAGAAATCACAGTATCGAATCGCAATATATATAGAATCGTGAGAATCACAATACATATCGTATCGGCACCTAAGTATCGTGATATCGTATCGTAAGGTCCCTGGCAATTTCCAGCCCTAGCGTACAGTGCACCATACTGGATGTTCACACAGACTGTGTCAGCATGAGTGTGAGGCCACAGGACAAAAGCCAACAAGAGAAAGCAGCAAGCAAGCCATTGTGTGTCAGAAATCGACTTTGCAGTCACTCTTACATAGCATTGGACTGTCTGGGAGGCTAGCAGTGTAACATTTAGGGAGATGAGGAGTCATGGGTGACCGCCGGGGAATGCAAGATAACTGGAAGAGCGTGTCGCATTGAGTACGATTTATCCAGCACAACATAATTTATTGTGAAATATGAACAACTACTAGGAAGCATGATGATTCTGCCACTGTACCAATGTCTATGACCTGTGAAGAGCTCTTACCTTCGGCAACGTCGTCATCAATGGCCCCCTTCACCTGTGAGAAGCACCACTGCACGTCATTGCTCCCACCTCCAGCTCCTGAATAGCAGAATGACAGTTACTGATCGAGATATTGCATGACTGGTTATGTTACAAATCTGACAGAAAAAGGAGTTTAGAAGTGAGGGGGAAGCCTGTGACCTGACCATTGGCGTGAGAAATTATGTGTATAGACAGACACAACATGACCTGTCTTGGTCCCATCTTGTGCATTAAGCTCATTGATAACATCTGATACTACATGGACTGGCAACACAGTCAAAATGAAAGACAATGTCCTCAGGAGTCCCTGGAGACCTATCACTGTACTTCCAGAGCCTCTTGATAATACACTTGTTAAGAGAGAAGCCTCAGGCACTGAAGCATAGCTCAAGATAATAAATAATTATTATTTGGGTGCTTATATTTGTCCTATTGGAAATGTGTTTTTTGCATATCCCAAATCCCCCCGAGAAACCCTCAGAGTGGGGTCAAGGCCAGGGTCTGCCATTAACAGCAGCAACACTGGAGCAATTAGGGTTAAGTGCCTTGCTCAAGGGCACATTGACAGCTTTTTCACCTTGTCGGTTACTGGCCCAACGCTGTAACCTCTAGGCTACCTGCCGCCCTCAACAGCTGTTAACATCAAAGTTCAAACAACATCATACACTAGGTCAAGGCAGGGGAAATACTACTACAGTATTATATTTTATAATGGATAAGGAATATACATTTCCCACAGAGATTTGTAAATAGCCATTGAAACAGATCAACTAGCGCTAGTCCATCTCAAAATCTGTCTCTGACTGGGTTATTACAGGTATAGTGTCCCGACAGGTTCTCGATAATAATAACAGTAATTGCACAATGAAACAGGTTGAGTTGTACATTTCCACATGTAATAATTTCCGTTATTGCACAATGGAACTGGTTAGATTTGTTGATAAAAACATGTCTGGGTTGGGTGTGTGATAAATGCAGGAGGAGCAGGTATGACTAGAAGGTTGTTAATGCAGAGGCTGAAGCCTAAACGTCCCATTAATAAAATACATACATCTAGCATGTAACTTGGCTGACTACAAGTGATCACAATTGTAAGTGTGGTTAGTATGCTAAATTAGGTTGTCATCTGCCTCTACAAAAATAGTGATACAAGCACCATGGAGCCCTCTGTCAACAAGTAATACCTTATCCCATCATTAGAGAACAAAGGCCTACAATAGATGCTGGAAAGTAGTCAGGTCTATATTTAGAGCGCTGTATACTTTCGACAGACACTGAATCTCATGCATAAACTGAGTCATAGATAGCTAGCAATGATTTCAGCCAAGTCATTATTGGCCCACCTAGGAATGCAATCCCAGCCCGAGGGAAATGGCACGGTGATCTTCATGTTCAAGCATACATAAATATTACATCAAAGCCCACATCCAGCAATAGAACTATGACTCATGGCTAAATCGATTATGGTGGTGGTGTGGCATTAAAAGGTGGACATCGTAACGTTACAGGTGCAAGGTGGCGTTCGGAAGAAGCCAGTCATCATCATCCACCCACCCACCATCTTTCACATCAAGACTCCCGCTCAACTCGCAGGTCATGCTAGCGCGACAGTGCCACATTAGGGATAATTTAACAACTTAGCTAGCCAACTTGGCTACCAGTAGTACTACCAGAAATACTACTTGGCTGGCTAACTCACTGAAAGGAAAGTATAGCGTTTGGCATAGTTAGGTAGCTAACGTTACAGCTTCATACTAACAGTTAACATGAAATGACAGCGATGCATATGATGTGATTGAGAGGAACGTGGGGCTAGCTATAACTTAGCCACATATAGCTAACGTTAGCCTGTAAAGTTGGACGTCCCCAGCGAGGATGATTGGTGAGGCCCAGTGACACATGATTTAGTTAGTTAGCTAGCTTGAGCAATTAGCTAGACTTACATAATTCTAAATACAGAATTGTATATAACTAGCTAGCTTGCTAGTTGCTTGCTAAGGTTGCTAGCTAATGTTATTACCGCCGGTAGATTTACTAGCAGCTAGTTAGCTAACGTTACTATTTCCATTTACCTGCCATGGCTAGAGGGATTCGCGCTCGATTGCCGGGCGTGTTTGTCCGGGTACGGACTCGTGCAAGCGGTCTCTCAAATGAAGGAGCTAGATCGTGGGACCGAGACGTTCCGGGCAGCCCTTCTGCTTGGCTCGGACTCTCTTCCCTCCCTCTCCGGCTTGTTCACTCACTCGCACACTTTCCCCGACAAGTCCTTCCAACACCCACCATCCACAGACAGTTCAAAATGGCGCTACCGCATCCTACATGACATCATCATAACCCGCCTCTTCTTGAGTGGAAATGGTCGGCGTATATCCAAAAGGGACACACCCACGGATGGGACGCACAGTTCTTATTATTGTCAATGCTATTCGGGATCATTGGGACGTCCCTACCCTTACCCGTAGTCATTGCCCCAATTTCTCAGTTATTCTAATCTATAATGAGCCTTTGGCTGATCAGTGGGCAACGGCCGGCCCCTTACCAAGATGGGCAAGCCCGATTTTCTGATAGGTTGAATTGAGGTCAGGCAAAATCACATTCAAAGTGATTATTATATATGTACACTATATATGCACACTACCGTTCAAACGTTTGGGGTCACTTAAAAATGTCCTTGTTTTCGAAAGAAAAGCAATTTTTTTGTCCATTAAAATAACATCAAATTGATCAGAAATACAGTGTAGACATTGTTCATGTTGTAAATGGCTATTGGAGCTGGAAATGGCTGATTTTTAATGGAATATCTACATAGGCATACAGAGGCCCATTATCAGCAACCATCAGTCCTGTGTTCCAATGGCACGTTGTGTTTGCTAATCCAAGTTTATCATTTTAAAAGGCTAATTGATCATTAGAAAACCCTTTTGCAATTATGTTAGCCCAGCTGAAAACTGTTGTGCTGATTAAAGAAGCAATAAAACTGGCCTTGTTGAGACTCGTTGAGTATATCTGGAGCATCAGCAATTGTAGGTTCAATTACAGGCTCAAATTGGCCAGAAACAAACAACATTCTTCTGAAACTCGTCAGTCTATTCTTGTTCTGAGAAATGAAGGCTATTGCATGCGAGAAATTGCCAAGAAACTGAAGATCTCGTACAACGCTGTGTCCTACTCCCTTCAAAGAACAGCGCAAACTGGCTCTAACCAGAATAGAAAGAGGAGTGGGAGGCCCCAGTGCACAACTGAGCAAGAGGACAAATACATTGGAGTGTCTAGTTTGAGAAACAGACGCTTCACAGGTCCTCAACGGGCAGCTTCATTAAATAGTACCCGCAAAACACCAGTCTCAATGTCAACAGTGAAGAGGCGACTCCGGGATGCTAACCTTCTAGGCAGAGTTGCAAAGAAAAAGCCATATCTCAGACTGGCCAATAAAAAGAAAAGATTAAGATGGGCAGTCTGAGATATGGCTTTTTCTTTGCAACTCTGCCTAGAAGGTCAGCATCCCGGAGTCGCCTCTTCACTGTTGACATTGAGACCATGTACTTTCCACCGCTTGCTCCCATCTTGTTGTCTTGTTGCCGCATTCCGACCATCCTGCTGGCTCTCTCCTCCTTTACTACTGCTCACACATCCTCCTGCACCAGCTTCCGCCTGTCTTTCCCTTGGGCCTTGTCGTAGCGTGGTGTTGTAATGCTACCAAGGCCAGCTCTTCCGGGAGTCACTGTACCCACCAGCATGCTGTGCCGTAGCCGTGACTCAGCCTGCTCACTGCTTCCTGAGCCCTCCACTTCCTCCCTGTTGTCACCTCTATACCGGCCTAGGTGAGTACTCGCTGTTCTGATGTCCAGAAGTTATTTTCGGTCATAGGAAACGATGGCGGAAACATTATGTACAAAAATAATTTCAAATACATTGAAAAAACTCAAGTGTGTGTCTGTTATTATTATTTTTATGTAATGTGCAATATCTGTGTAGGCTCAATTAGGAATTTACATGACCAGATAATTGTTATATATGTTTGGCATATTTCTGCTGTTGGGAAGAGAATAGGATGTTATGTAGAAAAATATGTTGGTAGGACAAAAATATGAACACAACATATAACATGTTGGTCCCTTGTTATATGAGCTGAAATAAAAGATCTGTTAGAAATAGCGTAATTCAAATCTGGTATTGGAATAAGAGAAAACATAATCAAGAGATATTCAATCCAAGCTAAATTTATTATATGCAAAATGTATGTATGATATGTATGATGGTTCGTTTACGGGCTCACTGAAAGACCACGCAGGGCAGACAGAGAACTAAGCCATTGTTATGAGTTCTTCTTAAAATACTCTGACAGAGATAGTTCCCGCTCCCTGCTGGCCAATCAGAGTAGAGACTGAGCGTTGTTTAGACTTACTCAGCCAATCCGTTGGCGCACAGGCTGGTCCCAGACCCTTGGCGCTCCACTGTTGCCAGGTGTCTAGTTGTTTTGCAACTTATCCAGAAAGTCAGCACTTTTTGCAGTACACATCCTTGAGTTTGATGGTTTAACAAAGAGGCAGTGTGTATGTGTCTGTGAGAAATACAAGTCTTATCTCATCCTACCCCCTAACGTTCCTCACATGAATCACAGCTTGTTATGTGAAACAATTTATATCAGTACAGTACAAACCCTTTATGTTTAATCATTAATGCATTCTTTCTAAGCTAGTCATCACATCTAGATCCCCACAGATCCCAGAAATATTCCATAAGCTTATTTCTATAAAATGTTGTACACAAATGTGTTTACATCCCTCTTAGTGAGCATTTCTCCTTTGCCAAGATAATCCATCCACCAGACAAGAGTGGCATATCAAGAAGCTGATTAAACAGCATGATCATTACCCAGGTGCACCTTGTGCTGGCGACAATAAAAGGCTACTCTAAAATGTGCAGTTTTGTCACACAACACAGATGTCTTAAGTTTTGAGGGAGCATGCAATTGGAATGCTGACTGCAGGACTGTCCACCAGAGCCATTGCCAGAGAATGTAATGTTAATTTCTCAACCATAAGCCGCTTCCAATGTCATTTAAGAGAATTTGCCACTCCGTCCAACCAGCCTCACAACCGCAGACCCAGTGGCGGCTCCTGAAAAAATTCTCAGGGGGGGCAATTTTTCTGATGATTTAGGTGACCTACACACATTTTTAAAAATATATGTCCAGCAAAAACATGAAGACAGGGGCAGCATATAAGTCAATACCAGAAGCATTTATTGACTGATCTCAAAAGTGTTGGCTTACAAAATCAAAATAAGTTATCACAGTAAAAATAATCAAGGGTGTTCTTTCACATTCCTCAACACTGCATAAACAATATGCATTTCCATAAACAAATGAAATATCAGCTGAAAATACAGCATCTTGGTATTTGTTCAGATTGCAGGATCAACAAGAGCTTTTACCACATTTTTTGCCTCATGGTTGAATTGGAAATATGTGCACCTGAGCATAATTCACAACAAGCAAGCAGGAGCTTTTGATAGAGGAAACTGAAAACATTGATGCAAGTTATTGGTAATAAGACATTTTTATAGACTTCCATATTCTGCCCTCTTGTATAGATTTGTGAAAATGAACAGTGATAGACATTTTGCCTGAAAACAGAATTTGAAAGTAATTTCTAGAAAAGGTAAACACAGCTATCTGTATGGCTTTGTAAAAATGAACAACCATATTCTGGCCAATTGTATAGATTTGTAAATATGAACAACCATATTCTGGCCAATTGTATAGATTTGTAAAAATGAACATGAACAGATTATTTTTTTAAAAACTTTTTTTTAAATGAAAAATAACTATTTTAAACAACATCAACTGTGAACTGATTTGGGCGTGTGTGTGTTAAAGAGACAGACAGGGAGGGACAAAGAGAGAGAGAGGCTACATTACTTGTACTGAAACTGTTCTCTTCTCTGTTTCAATACAGCAAAGCGTTCAATGACTTTCTCATTGAAATCAGGCATGCTGAGGACTAGTTCCCTCTCCATGGAAAGCATGGCCAGTGCATTCAGACGTTCCTGGCCCATTGAATTTCGCAGGAATGTCTTAACTCGTGTCAAAGTTGAGAAACATCTCTCAGCTTCAGCTGTTGTCATGGGAGTAGTTATGAGGATGTTCAACAGAGTCACAGTCTCAGAGAACGTCTCCTGGAGGTTGTAGCTCATGAGAACCTGGTACAGTGCCAGTGCACCACAGCATCCCTTGAATTCAGGATTCTCATAGATCAGAGACAGTTCTGTCTTGAGCTTTGCCTTGCTCAGCATGGGGTATGCATTCACAGTGGCATTCAGAGCCTCATCAGGAAATGAATGGCAGTACCTTTCAAACATGTCTGCTTGCAGTAAGGTAGCACTCACAAGGTGGCCAGAGAAAGAGAACCTTTCTTTGGTGTGATCCAGGATGGTGTTGCAGACCTCTTCAGACAGCCTCTGCTTCTCCTCTTCTCTCAAAGCTGTTCTGGGTCTTTTGGCTCCTGTTGCTTCTTGCAGCTGCTGTTGAGAGGAGTCCCTGAAGGCAAACAGACCAATGTGTTTGTTGGCTTTGTACAGTACTGTTGTCTATGTG